GCTTAGTGAGGAAAAGAGGTGATTTTTATAGCCCTTTTCAAAAAGAATAAACTTGATTTCCTTTTTTTTTTGCAGACAGAGTCTCAAGCTGTGGCCCTCAGTAGAGTGATGTGGCAACACAGCTCACAGCAACCTCAAACTCTTGGGCTTAAGTGATTCTCTTGCCTCAGCCTCCCAAGTAGCTGGGACTATAGGCGCCTGCCACAACTCCCAGAGATTTTTTTGTTGCAGTTGTCATTGTTGTTTAGCAGGTCCAGGCTGGGTTTGAACGCACCAGCCCCGGTGTATGTGCCAGCACCCTACCCACTGAGCTATGGGTGCCGCCTGATTTCCTCCTTTCTTTCTTTCTTTTTTTTTTTTTTGAGACAGTGTCTCACTAAGTTTACCAGGATGGTCAGAACTCCTGCGCTTAACGGAGCCTCCGCCTCCCAAGTAGGGGAGATTTTACGTGTAGGCATGCACTACAGTGTCTAACTTGATTTCTTCTCTTGACATTCAGTGTTGATCCTTCCTTTACCAGGAAATTTCCAAGTTTCAAATTGACCTCCTTCCTCTCTCCAAAATAAAATGCTTCTGGACCGTGTTTCATTTGTCTACACATCCCTAGCCTGCACTGGACCACCCAGAAGGGTACAAACAAGAAAGTGATAAATGACTGACATACTGAATATTAAATGTCCCGTCCTGAGGCTATGTTGACTCGTTTCCATACTAAGTCCACATTTCTCTGCTATGTATATTTCACTCATTAAAATTTATAAAAAGGTTTATATCTATCATTTTATCTGAAATTTAAAATTTTTTTAAATTAAAAATTTAATTGACAAATTGACAAATAAAAATTGCATATATTTATGGTATACCACAAGATGTTTTGAAATATTATACACTGTGGAATGGCTAAATCAAGGTAATTAATATTACCTCACATATTTAAATTTTTTTTGTAGTGAGAACATTTAAAATCTACTTGCAACGATTTTTTTTTTTTTTTTTTGAGACAGAGCCTCAAGCTGTTGCCCTGGGTAGAGTGCTGCCGCATCACAGCTCACAGCAACCTCCAACTCCTGGGCTCAAGCGAGTCTCCTGCTTCTGCCTCCCAAGTAGCTGAGACTACAGGCGCCGGCCACACACCCGGCTATTTTTTGGTTGCAGCCGTCATTGTTTGGTGGGCCTGGGCTGGATTTGAACCCACTACCTTAGGTGTATGTGGCTGGTGCCTTAGCCACTTGAGCCACAGGCACCAAGCCGGTTTTCCTATTATTGTTAGTTCTTTCATAGCAATTTATTTACTGCTTCCCCCCTCCCCATTAGATAGTAAAGCTCTTTTTGTTATAAGAGTTTATCTTGGCTCGGCGCCTATAGCTCAACCGGCTAAGGCGCCAGCCACGTACACCTAAGGTGGCGGGTTCGAATCCCCAGCCCGGACCCGCCAAACAACAATGACGGCTGCAACCAAAAAATAGCTGGGCGTTGTGGCGGGCACCTGTGGTCCCAGCTACTTGGGAGGTGGAGGCAGGAGACTCGCTTGAGCCCAGGAGTTGGAGGTTGCTGTGAGCTGTAATGCCACGGCACTCTGCCCAGGGGGACAGCTTGAGGCTCTTTCTCAAAAAAAAAAAAAAAAAAAAGAGTTTATCTTTTTTTAAGTCCTTATTCGTTCACTGTACTTTCCCTTGTATGTTACTTGTCTTATCTTGTCCCCTTCCCTACCTTACTATAAATTCCTCCAGGACAAGGACTGTCACACATTTCAATTCCCATAGCACAACACTTAGCCCATAGGAGGTGCTTGGTATATTTTTTAATTAATGAGTGAACATTCGTTAAAGTCAATTGAGTTGAGAGATACTAATCTGTACTGAATTACACTAACCACACACAGGGGAATCTTCTACTCCATATGACAACTATATGATGTTCTTAGCTTAGGGACATAATATCTTTAGCTAGATTTATAAAAGGCTAAATATTACTATAAGACATTAAAATAATAATAATAATCAACCCAAGTAAATTTGAAAAGTTCATGGTTTGTTGGTCTGCTTTTTGTTATTTCAGTATTTTAAAATTTTACCTACTAATTTATTGCTTTATAATTTCTCTTTTACCTGAAACAGTGAATATTCTGTTTTTAGTGTATGCGGTCAGACAATTAAGTTCATGAACTCATTCTGGAAAAAGTGCTACATACTTCATCACTATGGTCACCTTTGAAGTACTCCCCTTGGCCATTTGGTGACCATAATGAAATTCAGCAATGAGGTATATGGCAAGTTTTCTAGGATGAGTTCAAGAACTTAATTGTTCAACCTCCTGTACATTATCTCTGATCATCTGGTTCACAGTTATAAGTGACTAGCTACTAATTCAGTTATGAAAACAGGACTTTCACTAGTACAAAGAGGAGATATAATAGCCTTTGTTAAGGGTTTCATATGTAATGGTGGATAGTAGAACCTTGAAAACCAAGATTTCAGACCTGTTACAAATGACTGAAATGCAATGTGAATGTTTTCTAGAAACATTTTTTTCTTTTTTAGAGATAGGGTTTCTCCATGTTGCTAGGCTGGACTCTAACTCTGGGGTTCAGGTGATCCTCATGCCTCTGCCTCCTGACTAGCTGGGACTCAAGGTCCTTGCCATCGCACTCCACTCCCCAAAACAGCACAGCACTTTATTACATAAAGGGATGTTGGCAGACAATGGGTTAAGCAGGTGCCATGAGAAGGAAGGAGGAAGGCTATTTACTCTGGTTACTCTCTCCCATAGACTTGATTTTACAGTTTGGCTTTCACTATTCACCCATAATACTTAGTTACAAATTTGCCAGGGTGACTCAGCAGGTGAGTGCCTAATGACAGGGATGAACAACTTTTCTGACAGGGGGATTTAAACCAAAGATTATCCATTACATTATTTGGGGATGAATATTATATTTTCTTAGCTTCCTATCCAATCCATGTTAGACTCCATATGGGGAGGCTGTCAGAAACTTAATACTAGGAGAACAAAAGAACAGTTAACCCCCTTATAACACATATTACAGATGAGAAAATGTAGGCCCTGGAAGCTTGCCACACATTCAAATCACAGAACCAGTCAGCAGCAAATTAAAACTCAAATCCAATCACCTTGCCTCCAATTTCTGTCATTCTCCCTTTGCTCTTCATTTTGTGCAGACCAGGCCAGTAACTCGTGTGATCTGGGGATTCTGGGAATGGCTCCATTCACCAGACAGTAGATTTCTTATTTGCTCTAGGGTCTGCCATGTTTTGAAACAGCTTTAGGAGGCAAACATCTTACAATGCACAAGACAGTCCCCATAACAAGCATTACCCAGCGCCAATGTCAGCAGTACCAAGGCTGAGAAACTGTGAGCTAGGAAAAAAAAAATCATTGAGGTGGTAGAAGAAACTTCTCGAATTATTATTTACTTTATGTTGTTAAGAACCTAAAAAAGAAAATAACCTTATTTCGCACTAATCTCATTTCCTTTTGGGGTATGACTAAAATTTTCTAGGATCCTAGAGGCTTAATCTGGCTTTCATCAGGCATTTCACAAATTCTCATGGTATCTCTGTGGAGGAATATGTGTCAGAAGACAGGTCAGTTGGGTGGATTTGCAGCAGGCTGGAAATCTGTATTCAAAGTCTACTGAGAAAATTTTGATGGCAGGAGGAATAGGTCTCAACCATAGAGTTATCCTGAGATCTGTCTTGTTAAACGCTTGGGTAGAATGGTGATCATATTTGAGAATGATTTAATTTTTTTTTTTTTTTTTTTGTGGTTTTTGGCCAGGGCTGGGTTTGAACCCGCCACCTCCGGTATATGGGGCCGGCGCGCTACTCCTTGAGTCACAGGCACCGCCCATATTTGAGAATGATTTAAAGACTCTGGGAAGTGTAGGGATCTAAAAAGATCTTGAGCACCTGGTACAATGGTTTGCTTAGTTCAAGGTAGCACGGTTCACCAGGAACACCGACAGCCCTTCCAGTGTCCAGAGGAGAATGTGGAAGGACTTGAAAATAAGGACCTGGGGACATTAAAATTGAAGATAGAAAAATAGCGCGACGAAATGACGAAAATATGAGAAGTGACATAGAGAAGGCTATGAGGGAGGACTGTCTAGGTACAATGTGCCCCTTGGGGAAACTAAAATCAATAAATAGGCTGATGTAATGGGCAGATTTTGTTTAAAGCTGGGGTAGGGTGCCTCGGCAGGGGGAGTTCTTGCTTACTGTCAAAACAGAGACAGCACGAGGGCTTTTATTACGTGTTGAGGCAAATTTGCTGGTATTTGTACTTAGAATGTAGTTGTATCTGCTCTGAATCTCTCCCCCCGCCCCGGGAATCTCGCTGTCACAGCCCCCTCCCTCGGTCCTCCCTGTTCCGAGGGCAGCAGGTGCACGTCTTTGCCCTGGATGTGGGTTGGCCTGTGTAACTCTGTTCGGGAGAGTTTTGTGAAACAGCTGCACCCCTTGGCAGCCTTCCTTTCTGGCTTTCAGAACTCGGCTAGGTTTGGGGGGTCTTTTGCGGGACATTATGCACATCCAGGTGTTTAATTATGCTGTAGTTATTATTATTATTTTTTAAAACAAAGCTTGTATGATGAACTTGACAGGACCTGAAGAGTCGCTTCAAGATGACTCGGATTTTCCTCAGGAGTTGTCATCCAGGGACAGAAAAGCCAAGGACTGTAGAACGTTACGCCTCAGAGCAACCTCTCGTACCTCAACGCCAGAGCGCGCCTCTCCAGTGCGGGAGAGCCCGGAGCAGTTCGCACCCTACACTTGGAGGCGCGGGAGTGCGCGCAACCGGCCGCTCGGGAGCCGCGGACAGGACCAATGAGCGGGCACTCTTTTCGCGCCGGCTCGGGATTGGGCGAACCGTGCCAGGCTCTCAGCCTAGCGGTGGGCGGAGCGCGCCGGGGACGGACTAGGATAGGCGCGCCCGCTGCGCCAGAGTCTCGGGGGCGCGTGCGCGGTCTCGCGGCGGCCGCAGGGGCCGGTCTCGCGCGGTCTAGAGGTGGAGTTGCTGGCGGCGGTGGCGGCGGTGACGGCGGCGACGGAGGAGGCTGGCGGTGGGGCGGGGGCGGGGACTAGGGATCCTGAGGTGTGGGATCGGGAGTTTCTGGATTCTTTATCCGGTATTTTAAGGGCCGCCGGAGGGCTGTCGTTTGTGCCGTGTTTAGGAGCGGCCGGGGCAGGAGCATCGGCAGCGCAGAGGCGCGGAGGTGAGACGCGGACTGGCGGCGGCTGGGTTGTGCAGATCTTAATCAACAGGTCCCCGGGAGCGCGGCGGGGGAGGGGCGGCCGGGCTCGCCCCCTCCCCCATGCGCCGCGCGCTCGGGCCCGGGTGAGGGTACGCCGGCTGCCCCGTGCGCCGCCCCAGGCACCCGGAGCCGCGGCCTTGGAGGGTGCGAGCCCAACCTTTGTCCCTCGGAGAAACGCTGCCTGCTCTGCGCCCGCTCCCCGTGCTTGGTGGGGGACGCACCTAGGCGCGGGCTACAGCCGGCCCGGACGCACTTGCGGGGGGCACGGCAGGGAGTCAGCTGCCTTCTGCGCCCCAGCCGGAGGTCGCTACTGCGGCGACTCCCCCCCAGTCGCGTCGGGGAAATCGGCGAGGGAAGACTTTCCTTTAGAAGACGGAATGTAGTCGGCGTTCCTCTGCCTGACTCAGCTCCTGGTATTCTGCAGCTCAGTGCGTCCTTTAAACAAACAGTTCCTGTTTCCTTGTGACCACTTTTAAAGAAAAGCATGATTTCATTAATGGTTTCTGATAATTTAAGATTGCAATTTGAACTTTGAAACCTGTAAATTGTCATTAGCTCAGTTTTATGAAAGGCGCTTTAAAGGCTCTTTGTAGAAAATTATGTAACTTACTAATAATAATAACTCACCTTCTGTTGATTGATATAAACTAACGTGAACAGAATTTAGGTTTCAGTGGAAAGGGTTTTTTTTGGCAGTTTTACGCTGAAATTTAAATCTGATATCTAGAAAGTTTTTGGTAGAGTATATAGTGTGTTTTTTGTCTGTGCTCGTTTAGAGTTTTAAGAATTTAGATTTGGAAAGTCTGTAGAACAAGAATTTGGCAATTTTGATTTGACTGACAAGATTAAAGGTGTTACTATTTCTGATTTTTAAAAAGCAATACAGTGTTTTAATGGTAGTATCCCAATCATGCCTTTGGATTATACTAGGAGTTAATAACCATGCTGCGGTAGGAGCAGATGATGTGTTGGTTATTGGTGTCCTTGAAGTATAACTCTTGGTGGCAATGAAAATGATTAAAAAAGAAAATGATTAGAAAAGTTTAATTATGAACAACTAGATCTCCCTGGTGGTGACATATTCCAAGTCCAAAGAGAGAGTCTATCTTTGTCCTCAGGACTAGAGTACAGTGCACTGAAACCTCAAACTCCTGGGCTCAGGCAGATCTCCTAGTTCAGCTTCCTCAGTAGCTAAGACTCCAGGTGCGTTCGTTCCACCATGCCCTGCTAATTTTTATTTATTTATTTATTTTGAGACAGAGTTTCACTCTGGCACCTTGGATAGAGTGCTATAATGTCATATCTCACAGCAGCCTAAAACTCTTGGGCTCAAGAGACCCTCTTGCCTCAGCCTCCCTAGTAGCTGGGACAACAGGCGCTCTCCATAACAGCTGGCTAATTTTTTTTAGAGACGGGGTCTTACTGTTGCTCAGGCTGGGCTTGAACTCCTGAGCTCAAGCAATTCACCTGCCTGGGCCTCTCAGAGTCTTTAGGATTACAGGCGTGAGTCACTGCACCTGGTGGCCCTGCTAACTTTTTAATTTTTTTGTAGAGTGAGGGTTTTGCTGTGTTGCCCAGGTTGGTCTCAAATTCCTGGCCTCAACCAGTCCTTCCACTTTAGCCTCTCAAAGTGCTGGTGAGCCACTTCACTATTAAAAGTTTTTTTTTTTGTTTGTTTGAGACAGAGCCTCAAGCTGTCCCCCTGGGTAGAGTGCTGTGGCATCACAGCTCACAGCAACCTCCAACTCCTGGGCTCAAGCGAGTCTCCTGCCT